GACGGAGTCAGCTGTCGGTCCCGATCACGGCCACGTGGCAGCCACGCTCCGAGCCCCGGCGCCTCCAGCCTCGTGAGCGACGGACGAGCGGGTGGGAGAGAGGGGGGGAGGGAGGGAGAGGAGGGGAGGGAGGGTGAGAGGGAGGTAGGGTGAGAGGGAGGTAGGGTGAGAGGGAGGGAGGGTGGGGGAGAGGTGGGTGAGGAGGGGGTAGGGAGAGAAGGGGTAGAGAGAGGGGTAGAGAGAGGGTAGAGAGGGGGGGGGGGGGTGGGGAGGGGGGGGGAGGGGGGGGTAGAGAGAGAGGGGGGAGAGAGAGGAGGGGGGTAGAGAGAGGGGGGGGGTAGAGAGAGAGGGGGTAGAGAGAGAGGGGGTAGAGAGAGGGGGGAGAGAGAGAGGGGGGTAGAGAGCGACATGGAGTAAGAAGAGAGGGGGTAGAGAGAGGGGGGGCAGAGAGGGGGTAGAGAGAGGGAAGGGATAAGGAGAGCAGAGCGAGAAATCTTCGTGAAATATTTAATTATTTCAAAAGGGGGGGGGGGGGTTTACATAAAGCAAAGCATAAAAAAACCGAAATGATAAACGAAGCAAAGTGCCGACTACCTGTTTCTTCACCCGAGGACGGCTGCTTGCGTTGTGGCCGAAACGTCGTGAGAATTGTATTACATTATGTTTTATTTTATTAATTTATGATTTCCCTTCTACGTGACTTTACCGAAAGAACCAATACTACATCTATAATTATTACGATTCATTAAAGACTGGGCACACAGATGACAAACGTGGAGCGCGTGGATTCGAAGACGCGTGGGCTGAATGCCGCATCATCCGAACTGCGAAGAGGAGCGATTGTGACGACAGGACGATGACCCATGGTCGAGACTAAGAACCGAGCGGCAGCCCAGCAATGGAACGCGTCCGTGAGGACCTCCGCCCAGGAGATGGAGCAGAGGTGAAATGACCTGGTGTGTAGGTGGCTTGCGGAGGCTTTCATCCAGCAGTGAATTGGCAATGGCTGGTGATGGAGATGGTGGAGACGCCTTGGGAGATGTTCATCCAGCAGTGGATAGACCAAGGCTGGTGATGGAGATGGTGGAGACGCCTTGGGGAGACGTTCATCCAGCAGTGGATAGACCAAGGCTGGTGATGGAGATGGTGGAGACCCTTTGGGGAGTTCATCGAGTGGTGGATAGACCAAGGCTGGTGATGGAGATGGTGGAGACGCCTTGGGGAGACGTTCATCCAGCAGTGGATAGACCAAGGCTGGTGATGGAGATGGTGGAGACGCCTTGGGGAGACGTTCATCGAGCAGTGGATAGACCAAGGCTGGTGATGGAGATGGTGGAGACGCCTTGGGGAGACGTTCATCCAGCAGTGGATTGACCAAGGCTGGTGATGGAGATGGTGGAGGACGCCCTTGGGGAGACGTTCTATCCAGCAGTGGATAGACCAAGGCTGGTGATGAGGTTGGTGGAGACACCTTGGGGAGATGTTCATCCAGCAGTGGATTGACCAAGGCTGGTGATGGAGATGGTGGAGGACGCCTTGGGGAGACGTTCATCCAGCAGTGGATAGACCAAGGCTGGTGATGAGGTTGGTGGAGACACCTTGGGGAGATGTTCATCCAGCAGTGGATAGGCCAAGGCTGGTGATGGAGATGGTGGAGACGCCTTGGGGAGACGTTCATCCAGCAGTGGATAGACCAAGGCTGGTGATGGAGATGGTGGAGACGCTTGGGGAGACGTTCATCGAGCAGTGGATAGACCAAGGCTGGTGATGGAGATGGTGGAGACGCCCTTGGGGAGACGTTCATCCAGCAGTGGATTGACCAAGGCTGGTGATGGAGATGGTGGAGACGCCTTGGGGAGACGTTCATCCAGCAGTGGATTGACCAAGGCTGGTGATGAGGTTGGTGGAGACACCTTGGGGAGATGTTCATCCAGCAGTGGATAGGCCAAGGCTGGTGATGGAGATGGTGGAGACGCCTTGGGGAGACGTTCATCCAGCAGTGGATAGACCAAGGCTGGTGATGGAGATGGTGGAGACGCCTTGGGGAGACGTTCATCGAGCAGTGGATAGACCAAGGCTGGTGATGGAGATGGTGGAGACGCCTTGGGGAGACGTTCATCCAGCAGTGGATTGACCAAGGCTGTAGATGGAGATGGTGGAGACGCCTTGGGGAGACGTTCATCCAGCAGTGGATTGACCAAGGCTGGTGATGGAGGAGACGCCTTGGGGAGACGTTCATCGAGCAGTGGATAGACCAAGGCTGGTGATGGAGATGGTGGAGACGCCTTGGGGAGACGTTCATCCAGCAGTGGATTGACCAAGGTTGGTGATGAGGATGGTGGAGAGGCCTTGGGGAGATGTTCATCCAGCAGTGGATAGACCAAGGCTGGTGATGAGGTTGTAAGTGAGGAGACACAAAAAGTAGTTCCACAACCAACGGCGAGTGCGTTCAATTAAAAATGTTTATTCGAATCACGTCCATTGTATTCCTTCGATTCAAGCTTTTTTTTTCCTTCGCGAACAATTTCGCCACGATTCGAACGATCACGGTCAATCTCGTGCAAGAGATTTATTCAATAAATAAATGCACATCGTCTTCCACTGATGGAAGATGTTCGAAATTAACAATTGGAATGCCAACACTTCTTCTTGTGCAACGTCACGTAAAATGTCTCCCTCCCCACCCCTCTCTGTAAAATCGTCATCGATACAATTCCAACCCCCCCCCCCCCCCCCCCCCGAACGTTTTGTAATTACTTATCCGCTTAATCATCTTTTCATAATTGTAACTCGTAATACAGATTTTGGGTTAGATCGCGTAAGTGTTGTGTCGTAACCCTCCACCACCCGACACAGCCAATTAGTAAGGGATTTGTCACGTAAACAAAACGCCAATTAGTTACTAGTATAGTGTAGAGTAGTGTATAGTGTAGTGTACAGTAGTGTATAGTGTCGTGTACAGTAGTGTAGTGTATAGTATAGTGTATAGTAGTATTAAGTTTAGTGTACAGTGTGTTGTATATTAGTGTGTAGTGTAGTGTATAGTGTAGTGTATATTAGTGTGTAGTGTATAGTGTAGTGTATTGTAGTGTATAGTAGTGTATAGTGTAGTGTATATCAGTGTGTAGTGTAGTGTATACACTACACTATACACGACACTACTACACTAAACTATACAATACAATATAGTATTTTACCCTTTTAAACTGGTACAAAACTGACACCTTTATTCAAGGCATCATGTTTGCAATGACCACAACACAAGTAGTCAAAGCAAACAAAAAGAAGCAACTCTGATAATGATAATAATATGCACTGTCCTTGAAGTTGATTGGTCCACACCCGAGATGGACCAATCAACTTCAAGGACAATGCATATTATTATCATTATCAGAGTTGTTTCTTTGTTTGCTTTTTTGACTACTTGTGTTGTGGTTATTGCAAACATGATGCCTTGAATAAAGGTGTCAGTTTTGTACCAGTTGAAAAGGGTAAAAACCTACTACTATATGTTGCCACTGGTAAAAGAGATCTCATAGTATACAATACACTATACACTACTATACACTACACTACTGTACAGGTTTAAAAACTACTCTCGTTTTTATCAAACGATCTAAGTAACCCCCCCCCCCCTCCATCTATCGGGGGCGAGTGCTGCGAAAGGCCTCGCATCGAGGCCGGAACGTCGGGCGATTCCGTGGTGTGGCCTACATCCTAATGCCTGCACCAGTGCAGTCCCACACCAGCGTATCGAGGCGCGTTCCATTTAAGGCCGAGTTGACCTAGGGGACGTCCAAGTTCAGATAAATCGCCACCGATGTTGGGTGAGCTATGGCCGAGGGAATCGAACAGGATTCGTAGTGCGGCACGCTAACCACTGCGCTACAACCTTCCAAAGACAAATATCCCCCACACCCGGTATAGCCTTTGACAGACTGTCGGGGCAAGTGCTGCAATTGGTCGTGTGCTGAAATCGAACTCGGTACTCTTTGGTTCGTTCGGTAAAGTCACGTAGATGAAAAATAAAAATGTAAATAATAAAATGAAATTAACTAAATTAAGTGATTTAATTTAGTTATTTTTATTATTTTATTTTTCATCTGCGTGACTTTAGCGAAAGAGCATGGGTCCTCGCAGTCACGAAAACTTCAAATCTAGAATTAATCGAACTCGAGTTTCGTAGCGCAGTGCCGCTGACCACCACAATGACCCCACGACACACACACCACCACACACACACACGCCCACCAATAAATATGCAACAGCAGAAACCACTCAACGCTAACAGTTGGAGGCACCGTCATCATCATCATCACGAACACCTGTGCCAGGCACGGTGCCAGTTTTGGCAGCTGGCACAAGCAAGTGCAGAGTGGGGGGGGTTTCCCAACTTCACAATTCGCGAATCCCACCACCACCACCACCACGCTCCGTCTGTCCTCGTTCACCACTAAGTGGCGTTGACGTCACCACGACGCTTGTGCCAGGCCACGTGCACCTTGAGGCTACCACGTGAAGTGTCGAACGCCCGCTGGCAGGAGGTCACGGGGCAGACCCAGCAGGTGCCACGGGTCGACTGACTGAGATGACTGAGACGACTGGCTGATGCACCACCTGTGCCCCCTAATGTGCCAATCTCCTCCTCCCCATTCACGTGCACAGGTTCCACGCCGCACGCGCTCGATGATTGTTAAACACGCCCCACGTGACGCGCCGAGCAATTACGTTCGTACAGCCGATTCATATTAAGATTGAGATATCGGTGTGTGTGTGCACGTGTACCTTGTGTGTGCGCGTCCCGTGTGTGTGTCACGTGTTCCGTGTGTCAGTCACGTGTCCCGTGTGTGTCACGTGTTCCGTGTGTGTGTCACGTGTTCCGTGTGTGTGCGCGTGTTCCTTGTGCGTGTGTGCACGTGTTCTGTGTGTGTGCACACATTCCGTGTGTGTCACGTGTTCTGTGTGTGTGTGTGCACGTGTGTGTGTGTGCACGTGTGTGTGTGCACGCGTTCCACGTGACGAAGGCAGCGCTGACCGCTTCACGACGAGGAAACGCGTTTGACAATAATCGCGCGCGTGCAGCGTGGAACGAGTTAATTTGCATTCGAGTGTGGGGAGGAGCAACTTGGCAAACGCGGCAGAGACAGAGAGAGAGAGACACACTGAGCGTGGTGGTGGTCGAGAGTCCTGGAGTTTGTAAAAAATAAAAACTTTATATAGTGCAACATTCAAGACCTTAGAGGGCAATTCGTCGGACAAACTGCGATTGGCCGCGCCAACGACGACGTCACAAAGGGCCTTCATTTGAATGCCCCGGTCTCTGCGCGGTAAGTGCTTGGGTGTTCACGGGAACGCAAACCCTGCGCCGTGCTTGTCACTAACTTAGGGGAGGGGGATAAATGGTATTTTTCAGCCCGGCAACCAACAGAGAAGACCGCTGGCTTGCAGATGTCAACTACCTCGTCTGCTACGCAGGAGGTTGTGGGTTCGATCCCGACCCTGACGCCTGCTGCTGTATATTTGGAGTTTGCGTGTCTTTCTGCCTCTCTCTCATCTTCATCACGGTGGCTAGGAGATGTTAACTACCTCGCCTGGTATACAGGAGGTCGTGGGTTCGATCCCGACCCTGACGCCTGCTGCTGCTGTATATTTGGAGTTTGCGTGTCTCTCTCTCTCTCTCCCTCTGTGGTCGCGTGGATTTTTCTCCGCTTCTTCCAGGTTTTTCCCTGCACAATTAGAATCAACATCATCACGCCGTTAGAGTATTTGCCCGCGAAAAAATGTCCACGGGATAAGCCGCTTCGATGAACTATCATTTATAATAATCGCTTCTGAAAAATAAATAGTTTAGTTCATAGTTCAATTTAATTTGTTTCTGGGTTGTGCCACGTGGTTGGAGTTTTACAAACTAAATTCTTGCCGTTTTAGATCCTTCTTCACCTGCCCATCAGAGTGTCGCGTTTACAAATGTATTATTTCTTGACTTAAAGCTTTCGTGACTGCAGGAATTCAAATTATTTTCGTCTTTCGGTGTAAAGTCACGGAGTTAGGTTGAAAAAAAACACGACGTTTGGATTACAACACAAGCGATCGTCATCCCACTCTGAACCCCTCCCCTCTCCCCGCCCCACTCTGAAAACAGACGCCGCTTTTCCTCCATTCAGCAGCAGCAGTGTTGAGGCCCTAATGCAACCAACCTCCCTCCCTCCCATCTTTCCATTTCCATCATTTCCTCCCATTCCCCATTCTTCCTAGCCTTCTCAAAATCAGAACATTGATTCTAGATTTGAAGCTTTCGTGACTGCAAGGATTCATACTCTTAGGTTGATACAGTAAATCTAGCTGTGACGGTACCACCTGATGACGGAGACTTGTGTTGCCTCCGAAACGTCGTAATTTATTATTTTATTTTATTTCTATTATTAATTATAATTGTATTTTCTTACCTACGTGACTTTACCGAAAAAACCTAAGAGTATAGTCGGAACATTGATTCCTACCGGAAGAAGAATCCGATGAGCCATGAAGCTCTTTCCCCTCTTCCCATCTCTCTCTCTCTCTGCCCATCCATTAATAACATCCTTGCTTCTAATCCCCCCACCCACCCACCACCACCACAACCAGCCCCCCACCAAAAACCTGGAGCCGTCAACAGCGCCCCTCCGCCGTCACGGGAAGAACTTCTTCAGCAGGTCCTTCTTGTTCACCTTGCCCATGGCGTTCCTGGGCAGCTCATCCATGAGGATCATCTCCGACGGGATCGTGTAGGCCACCATCCTCTCCCTGTGCACGCACGGCAATCGCGAACTTTACCCATCATGCGGGGAAATCCAATGACTTACGGAGGCTGTTTTTTCACGCGTGTCGGGGCATGATAATAACCAACTGTTTTTCAAGACTATGCCACCACGTAGCATAACAAAACAAAAACTAAACATCATTGGAACCTCATTTGCCAGTAAAAAATATGATAATTGGTTTTTTACCCTTCTATCTGGCAACAAAACTGACACCCTTTTTTACAAGGAGTCATGTTTACATAGACCACAATACCTGCGTTCATAATGCAAACAAAAAACATAACTCTGATAATGTGCACTGTCCTTGAAGTTGATTGGTCCACACCCGAGACGCCTTTGGCGTCATCTGGTCCAACCCATGTCAGAATAGGCTCTAAGGAAATCAACTTCAAGGACAGTGCATACATTATCAGAGTTATGTTTTTTTTGCATTATGACCGCAGGTATTGTGGTCTATGCAAACATGACTCCTTGTAAAAAAGGTGTCAGTTTTGTTGCCAGATAGAAGGGTAAAAAAACAATTATTAAACTAAACATTTTTGACTATTTATTTTACCAGTTCCCCCCCCGTATAGCCTCAACACTGTCGGGGCAAGTGCTGTTAGCGAGCACCTGTGAAGGCCGGCACGGCACACGACGATGCGGGTGGGCCAGCACCACGCCCGGCCGCCTTTGTCTCCCCAATGTTTACACGCCGCACCAGGTTATCATTTGAGGCCGAGTCGACCTAGGGGAGGCCCCGCTGGAAGTCGTCACAGCTGGTGACCCACGGCTCACGGAGCGCGTGGGCCATGCCCGCACTGAGCGCCACTCCGGCGGAGAGCGCCGAAATTTATTCCACGTGCACAACCACAACCACCACAACCACATCCACAACCACATCCACAACCACAACCACATTCCACAACCACAACCACATCCACAAACCACATCCACAACCACAACCACATCCACAACCACAACCACAACCACATCCACAACCACAACCACAACCACATCCACAACCACATCCACAACCAACAACCACATCCACAACCACATCCACAACCACATCCACAACCACAACCACAACCACATCCACAACCACAACCACATCCACACCACAACCACAACCACATCCACATCCACAACCACAACCACATCCACAACCACATCCACAACCGCAACCGCATCCGCATCCGCAAACCGCAACCAATCCACAACCGCATCCACAACACAACCACATCCACAACCACAACCACATCCACAACCACAACCACATCCACAACCACATCCACAACCACATCCACAACCACAACCACAACCACATCCACAACCACATCCACAACCACAACCAACCACAACCCATCCACAACCACATCCACAACCACAACCACATCCACAACCACATCCACAACCACAACCACAACCACATCCACAACCACAACCACATCCACAACCACAACCACAACCACATCCACAACCACAACCCACAACCACATCCACAACCACATCCACAACCACATCCACAACCACAACCACATCCACAACCACAACCACATCCACAACCACAACCACATCCACAACCACATCCACAACCACAACCACAACCACACCACATCCACAACCACAACCACATCCACAACCACATCCACAACCACATCCACAACCACAACCACATCCACAACCACAACCCACAACCGCAACCACAACCGCATCCACAACCACAACCACATCCACAACCACAACCACAACCACATCCACAACCACAACCACATCCACAACCACATCCACAACCACATCCACATCCACAACCACATCCACAACCGCAACCGCAACCACATCCACAACCACAACCACATCCACACCCACAACCACATCCACAACCACAACCACATCCACAACCACAACCACATCCACAACCACAACCACATCCACAACCACAACCACAACCACATCCACAACCACATCCACAACCACATCCACAACCACATCCACAACCACAACCACATCCACAACCACAACCACAACCACAACCACATCCACAACCACATCCACAACCACAACCACAACCACATCCACAACCGCACCGCACCACAACCGCATCCACAACCACATCCACAACCACATCCACAACCACAACCACATCCACAACCACAACCACATCCACAACCACATCCACATCCACAACCACAACCACATCCACAACCACATCCACAACCACATCCACAACCACATCCACAACCACAACCACATCCACAACCACATCCACAACCACAACCACATCCACAACCACATCCACAACCACAACCACAACCACATCCACAACCACAACCACAACCACAACCACATCCACAACCACATCCACAACCGCATCCGCAACCGCAACCGCAACCGCAACCACATCCACAACCACCACCCATCCACAACCACATCCACAACCACATCCACAACCACAACCCACAACCACATCCACAACCACATCCACAACCACATCCACAACCACATCCACAACCACAACCCATCCACAACCCACACCGCAACCACATCCACAACCACATCCACAACCACATCCACAACCACAACCACATCCACAACCACATCCACAACCACAACCACATCCACAACAACCACATCCACAACCACATCCACAACCACATCCACAACCACATCCACAACCACACATCCACAACCACATCCACAACCACAACCACATCCACAACCACAACCACATCCACAACCACATCCACAACCACATCCACAACCACAACCCAACCGCAACCACAACCACATCCACAACCACATCCACAACCACAACCACATCCACAACCACAACCACATCCACAACCACAACCACATCCACAACCACATCCACAACCACATCCACAACCACATCCCAACCACATCCAACACAACCACCACATCCACAACCACATCCACAACCACATCCACAACCACATCCACAACCACATCCACAACCACATCCACAACCACATCCACAACCACATCCACATCCACAACCACAACCACATCCACATCCACAACCACAACCACATCCACAACCACATCCACAACCACATCCACAACCACATCCACAACCACATCCACAACCACAACCACATCCACAACCAACAACCACATCCACAACCACACCCATCCACAACCACACATCCACAACCACAACCACATCCACAACCACACCACATCCACAACCACATCCACACCACCACATCCACACCACAACCACATCCACAACCACCCACATCCACAACCACAACCACATCCACAACCATCCACAACCACATCCACATCCACAACCACAACCCATCCACAACCACAACCCACAACCGCAACCACAACCACATCCACAACCACAACCACATCCACAACCACAACCACATCCACAACCACAACCACATCCACATCCACAACCACATCCACAACCACATCCACAACCACATCCACAACCACATCCACAACCACATCCACAACCACAACCACATCCACAACCACAACCACAACCACATCCACAACCACATCCACAACCACATCCACATCCACAACCACATCCACAACCACAACCGCCGTGGTGACCACGAGGTCGCTGGGAAGTGGACAAGGGTGGTGGTGGGGGGTCGATGGAGAGACGAGGTTTGGGTTTCGGTGGCTGCGGTGATCGCGAGGCTGCACATTTCGCTGGGGGCGGTGAGCTGTCGTGGCGAGGGGAGGGGGGCGGTGGGGGAAGACGCAGCGGAGTGGAAAGGGTCAGGGTTGGTGGTGGTAGCTACGCTGCTGCTGCTGCTGCACGTGACCTGCCCGTGGATCCAGCCGCGGCTGTACTTACAATCCAAGTAAGCCCCTGGAATCAGAGGTCGCAAACGGGTTTTGATTCCTTACCCGTACACGTACCCGGCCGCACCAGGGTCGCAAACGGGTACCCGTACCCGTACCTGGCCGGGTACGGGTACCCGTTCCCTACCCGTACCCTACCCAAAATGAGTGACAAACGGTGACTCACCAGTGACTCACGGCCTACCCGTATCCGTACCCGGCCGCACCAGGGTCGCAAACGGGTACCCGTACCCGTACCTAGCCGGGTACGGGTAGCCAGGTATCGGGTAGGGTACGGGTATTGGGTACCCGGTTGCGACTGTGCGCTTTTAAATCGCCCAGATTGGCTAACGGATTCCTCTAGAACCGCTCGTTGTCGTGCCGAGTCTCCTGTCCTTCCCACCGCGGTTGGGTACAAACGGCGGCCCGAAAGAAGTTCAGCAGAATGCGCACACGCACACGCTCAGACCACCGGTATGGACGCACGGACGACAACGTCCGCCAAAATCCCTGGTGAGGACCGGCCGCGGTTTGCATCGGAGCTCTCGGTGAGGGCGTTAGACTTATTTTTTTTAAAGTTCCTCACCAAACGCGGCAATATTGTCAAGACGCCCCCCTCCCGGCGTGACGCTCGCTGCCGTAAAACGCGACGTGAGCCGACTGACGCCGCAAAAAAAATAAGATTATAAAATCGAAATATAAAATAATATTATTATATAAATAAATGTAATACATAAAAGACATTCAATTTTTTTCAGTAACCCGGGAGCGTGTTTCGCAGCGCGTTTAAAAAAAACTAAAATTTTGCCGCGACAATTAAAAAAATAATTGACAATTAAAATGGCATTTTGGCACCGCAGCGAAAAAAAAAACCCCCAAAAAAACGCACGCCAAGTCATTAACGTAGACGCCCGGCCGTTCACACACCCCACTCTCACCGTTTGTTGTCCACGATGCAATACGGTGGCCGAGTTTTTTTTTGTTGCTTAAATTTATAATCCGTCATCGTCGTGAAATTATACGCCCGCCGCCGGTTACCCCCCCCCCCCCCCCCGCCGCCCCCCCTACTGCAGCAAGGTGATAATTTAAATTTTAGCACCACTACCACCACCGCCCGCTCGCAAAGTCGCGCGTTAATTTGCGCAACGCCGCTACGAGAGAGCGATAGGCATCCTCGCGGATTTTAAACGTTTCATTCATTATTTCATTAGGGCTCTCACTTTCGTCGGCCCGCCTCCGCACGTCACCGCTCCCCCCACCCCCCACCCGCCCCCGCCCAGCCGCCTTTGTCTCCCTAATGCCGATGATTGGGGCGCCACAGTGGCTAGAAGATGTTAACTACCTCGCCTGGTGTACAGGAGGTCGTGGGTACGATCCCGACCCTGACGCCTGCTGTGTTTTTGGAGTTTGCGTGTCTCTCTCTCTCTCATCATCATCACGGTGGCTAGGAGATGTTAACTACCTTTCCTGGTATGCAGGAGGTCGTGGATACGATCCCGGCCCTGACGCCTGCTGCTGTATATTTGTAGTTTGCGTGTCTCTCTCATCATCATCATCATGGTGGCTAGGAGATGTTAACTACCTCGCCTGGTGTGCAGGAGGTCGTGGGTACGATCCCGACCCTGGCGCCTGCTGCTGTATATGTGGAGTTTGCGGTGTCTTTCTCCACGTGGTCACGTGGATTTCTTTCCTCCGGGGTCCTCCGCTTTTTCCCCCTTCGCATTTAGAATCACCGTCGCGCATTTTGGGAGTATTTCGTTGACCGCTGCCGCGAATTTCCAGGCGACGATGCTAGGCCTGCCGGCGCCGAGCCCACCACTTACGATGGCCAGCCCCGCTTCTGAAAAAGTGCTTCGTTATAGCTCAATGGGCCTTACCTGGGGTGTAGTAAAAAAGTAAAATAAAGTAACAAAAATATCAAAAAAGTAAAAAAAAAATGTGTTTATCTGGCTGCTCGGTGGGCCGGCCGGCCCGGCCCACCTAACTGGCCAGGCGGGCACGAATCCAAGCAGGAAGGCCAGCCAGCGAAACTTGCAGGGCCCCGCACAGAGGAGGCGGTGGCTCAGGCTTACCTTGCCCACTCCTTGATCTGCTTGAGGGTGAGCGTCGCTCCCCGCCGCAGCACCACCAGCGCCGTCACTCGCTGGCCCCACAGCGAGTCGGGGGACCCGATCACCGCCACGTCTGCGCGGGGGGTGGGAGGGTAGGAGGGCGGGTGGGCGGGTGGGTGGGTAAGTGGGTGGGTGGGTTGGTGGGCGGGTGGGCGGGCGGGTGGGTTTATGGATGGGTGGGCAGGCGGGTGGGTGGGTGGGTGGGTGGGCGGGTGGGTCGGCGGTTGGGCGGTTGGGTGGGTGAGTGTTTGGGTGGGCGGATGGGTGGGCGGGTGGGTTGGTGGGTCGGCGGTTGGGCGGGTGGGCGAGCGGGTTAGTGGATGGGTCGGTAGGCGGGTAGGCGGGTGGGCGGGTGGGCGGGTGGGCGGGTGGGTGGGTGGGTGTGTGGGCGGGTCGGCGGTTGGGCGGGTGGGCGAGCGGGTGGGTGAATGGGTCGGCAGGCGGGCGGGTGGGTGGGTGGGTGGGTGTGTGGGTGGGTTGTGGGCGGGTGGGTGGAGCAGGAACACGTGGGGGCAAGTGCCGTTTTTGGCGAAGACCCTACGAAGGAACAGCGGGCACGACGCACGGGGCCGCTGGGTGGCACGGGTGCCGCGCCTCAATGCTCGTTGGAACAGGAACTCGATTTGTTTGACTTTTGGACCATGTGAATTTCTCACGCGGTGTTAGCCTGTGGCGGGGAGGGGAGGGGGGCGCGGTGGGGGGGGGGGGGGCGCGGTGGGGGGGGGTATGGCGGAACTACCGGTGATGTCGGGGTGAGACAGGAGATTCCACTCCACCTCCAGCGCGCTGATCTTGTACCCGCCGCTCTTGATGATGTCAGCTGACGTGCGCCCCAGCAGGCGGAACGCGCCGTCACGGTACACGGCCGTGTCGCCTGCGTCCCGCGGGAAGGGGGGGGGGGGGTGCACAGAAACAAAGGTAAAGATCCCCCCCCGCCGTAGCCTACGCAGGCTGCAGGGGCAAGTGCTGTTTAGCGAGCACCTCCTGTGAAGGCCGGCACGGAGCTGGTGTTTCACGCATCGTACCAGGCGCAAACTATCCTTTGTCTTGCCAGGTAAGGCCCACTGTGGGCACCTGGCTATCACGAATGAAAGTGAAATGAAGAGGCTTCTAGACATCGCGTGGAAATGCAGAGCAGCAGAAAATGAAGCTTTCGTGACTGCAAGGATTCATATTCTTAGGTTTTTTCGGTAAAGTCACGTAGGTTAAAAATTAATAAAATTTAAATAAAAATAAAATAAAAATCACGACGTTTCGGAGGCAACACAAGCTTCCGTACTCGTGCTGTGACGGTTCCACCTGAAGACGGAAGCTTGTGTTGCCTCCGAAACGTCGTGATTTTTATTTTATTTGTATTAATTTTTATTTTTTTCCTACGTGACTTTACCGAAAAAACCTAAGAATACAGCAGAAAATGCTCGAAACGCCCGACGTCCATTCTGAATGTGGAGGGGAGAAAAATCCACGCGACCACAGAGAGAGACACGCAAACTCCAAGGGTACAACGGGCGTCAACGCGTGGTGCATTTGCGCCGATAATTTGACGCCATAGCGCAGAGAACCTGTCGTGACAGAGGCCGCGCCCTACGATTAGCAGGCGCCAAGCTGTGCCACACGCCCTCCCGCGTGGCCTTGTGGGAGCCTCGGCACCGATAAAGTTGTCTGATTTCGATTTAAAGCTTTCGTGACTGCAGGGATTCATCTTCTTGGTTCTTTCGGTAAAGTAACGTAGAAGGTAAATGATAAAATAATTAAAATAAAACATTCTCAAATACAATTCTCACGACGTTTCGGCCACAACGCAAGCAGCCGTCCTCAGGTGAAGAACAGGTCTGTCGGAAAGGCGCCCTTCCCCCTCCAACCCAGCTTAAATCTACGCTGCCAAGCTTGGTGGTGTTCATTCAGACGCTGTCTTTCCGACAGACCTGTTCTTCACCTGAGGACGGCTGCTTGCGTTGTGGCCAAAACGTCGTGAGAATTGTATTTTATTATGTTTTATTATTATTATTTTATTATTTACCTTCTACGTGACTTTACCGAAAGAACCAAGAAGTTGTCTGATTTAGTTTTTTTTTTCTTCCGGTTCCGTTGGTGTATGTCACGGGGCAGGCCCGCGAAAGGCCACGGGTACCTGTCAGCACGTGGACGTCGTGGGAATCGGAACCGGAAGAAAAACTGCAACGGCAAAAGGGTTGATTCCATTCCAGAGGGAGCGGGCGGGTCTCTTGGGATTTTTTTCGGGCGCGAAAAACGGTTTCCCGCTCGGCGGAATTGAACGGTGAAGAGATCCTGGCTGTTATTTTTAGTAAAAAAAAAGAAAAAAAAATTTGCAAAAAAATTTGCTTTGATTTTCATGTCTCGCGTCACGCGAATGCAAAAACTTTTACTAAAGGGGGGGGGGGCTCCAATCTAAATGCAACGCCGCTCGACGCCAACACCGCCGCGACTACCTGAAACAAATTAACTCCCTCCCACGCGCCAAAATTTTCGTTCAAATAATGATGATGATGGTGCCGATGCCCTCGTTAGCGTCGAATCGCTAGGCCGGTGTACTAACGATGCGGGCCTAATTATCGCGACGGGGACAACGGTTGTTTGCCGCCGGCGTGGGATTGCGCTACATGCGATGTTTTAATTAACGCGGCGATGGTGACGTGAACGGGAAAGCGAGGCGGGCGTGGGGGGGATGGCCGGGAGGAGACTGTGGCATTTTTTTTTTATCGAGTTGCAGATGATTGGTCATCGCAGCAGCAGCCTCCTCCACAGAGGCCGATCTTGACACCGCTGGTACCAGTCATCGGCAAGTCCACTCAGCCTCCTGTACCACATCACTCCATCTCTTCTCTAGCCAGTGTCGCGCCCGTTTAGCCCCCTCAATCCGGCTGTTTAGGTATGCGGTGGCTGGGCATGTGGGCTACATGTCCCAGCCAAAGCAGCCTTGCCTGCCGGAGGAGCTCACCGATGAGACTTTGTCCAGATCTTTCAAGGATATGTGAGCTTCTCACACAATCCAGCCTGGTTAAACCCAGGACGGATCGTAGACAGGCCAGCCTAAATGTTTATAATCGGCGAAGATGTTCCATTAGTGGGGGGTCCACGTTTCGCAAGCGTAGAGAAAGGAGGGCATGCCCGTGGCCGAGAAGACCCGACTTTTTGGATTGAGACCTCTGCTGTCAAACCTCACTTACACACACACTCACTCACACTCTACAGAACACGGGGAAGAGAGAATGCACAAACTCCACACACAGAAATACGCCCGAGTCGGGAATCGAACCCCGGCTCCTGCCCGCTGCGAGGCCACGCAAACGAGGGCTGCCACCACAGCACCACCGCCAACCACCGCACCACCGCCACCACCACAACCGCACGTACCCGTCTTGAACCAGCCGTCCGACGTGAACGCCTCCTTGGTCTCAAGAGGCCGCCGCCAGTACTCCTTGAAGACGGAGGGTCCTGACACCTGCAGCTCGCCCTCCTTGCCCTCGAAGCCCGGCGTCACCTGCGAACCGGCGACAATACGACACGACACGAGACAAATAATAATAATAGTTCAATTTGTAACGCGCGCAAATTTGCAGACGTAGTGGCCGCAACTCAGAGGCGCGGAGCCAAGCTCAGAGTCGCTCAAAAGCACGTGATTGTAGAGGTGAGTTTTTAAGTGTCTCTTGAAGGAGGCGATTGAGGTGATGCTGCGAATGTGCAGAGGGATGATATCGTTCCAGACTGTTGGGGCTGCCACCGAGAAACGGCGCATAGACACGATGACCATCCTGGATCTCGGTATCAAGAGGAGGCCGTGAGTCGCGCTGCGCAGGCATCTGCCGTGTGCTGAGCTGCAAGTTGTCAATAATGAAGAGAGGTACGGCGGGCAGGCGGATATGAAGGCGTTGTGGTAGAGGCAGGCGATCTTGTGTGTGACCCTACTGGCGATGGGTAGCCAGTCAGTTGAGAGCACGGAGACAAGCTAGTGAGTCGAGACGGGGATGAGTGTGGGCAAACAAAGACGCGCCCCCCCACCCCCCCCGTGTGGAACTCTGGCAGACCATGGGGGGCAAGGGCGCTCGGGCGGGGGGGTGGGGGTGGTCAAGAGGCGTGCACTGCCACCTTTGTCTCCACAGATTCCTGCCTCGAAATATTCTGATGGGGTCCCAGGCACGTGCTCTCCCCCCCCCCCCCCCCCCCCAAAGATCCCCCCTATAGCCTTAACAGACTGTCGGGGCAAGTGCTGTTAGCGAGCAGCACCTATGAAGGGCAACACAGGCAACACGAGGGAGGTGCGTGGCCAGCACCACGCCCGGTCGCCTTTGTCTCCCCGAGTGCCAATGCATTCCATGCGCACTGCAACAGGCGCTGACTTGAGGCCGAGTCGACCTAGGGGAGGGACCCCAGGGTCGGCGGCGGTGCATCGGCACAACCGAGAAGAAGCAAAGCCGACAAGCGTCGCTTGCGAGTAACAACGCTCGCGCCGTTTGTACGAAACAAATGTGTAACAGGCGACGTTTTAGGCAATGGTCCCTTTTATTCACTGCGCGTAAGCACGATCAGTCCATGCTGAGTTTTTTTTTTACGTCATTAAAAACAACCCTGCATATCCAGGTGGACATTGCACATTTCTGCATTTCACATAAATATGCTAAATTCCTCTTGATATGCAAATTATTTTGTCAAGGCGCTCTTCGCCCCTCCATCCCAGCTTAAATAGTCGCTCCAAGCCTGGGGCTTGTCATTCAGACGCTGTCTTCTCGACAGACCTGTTCTCCACCTGAGGATGGCTGCTTGCGCTGTGGCCGAAACGTCGTGAGAATTTATTTTATTATGTTTTATTTTTATTATTTTGTTATTTCCATTCTACGTGACTTTACCGAAATAACCAAGAAGATGAATCCCTGCAGTCACGAAAGCTTTAAATCGAAATTCCACATTCCTATGGCGAGTGTCGCATTTTTGTGATTTTCCCCAGGACCAGGACACCCCGCCCCCCCTTCATGGCCGGTCATGTGGGCAGCCGTGGGATTTTGTGGGAAATTTATAGGAAGGGTGAAACTACGACTGAAACTATTTATGTTATATCTACCAGGTAAGGTCCCACTGAGCTGCTAGGCATCTCAGAAGCGACCTGGCCAGCACAAATGACGGCCCAGCGAAGTGGCTCATCATCATCATCATCATCGTCGTCGTCGTTATCATCACGTAGAAATTTATAGCAGAGAAATCATCTAGACGCGTGACGTTGATTCTAAATGCGGAGGGGGGAAAACCCGGAGGACCCGGGGATAAAATCCAGGCGACCACGGGGAGAGAGAGAGAGACGCAAACTCCAAATATACAGCAGCAGGCGTCAGGGTCGGGATCGAACCCACGACCTCCTGCGTACCAGGCGAGGTAGTTAACATCTCCTAGCCACCGTGATGATGTGAGAGAGAGAGAGAGACGCAAACTCCAAATATACAGCAGCAGGCATCAGGGTCGGGATCGAACCTACGACCTCCTGCGTACCAGGCGAGGTAGTTAACATCTCCTAGTTACCGTGATGACGACGATGAGAGTGAGAGAGACACGCAAACTCCAAATATACAGCAGGCGTCAGGGTCGCGATCGAACCCACGACCTCCTGCATACCAGGCGAGGTAGTTAACATCTTCTAGCCACCATGGATGAGCGAGCGAGCGAGCGCATGGTGAGCGAGCGAGCGAGCGAGCGGCGGAGTCACTCACCCTCGTGGACTTGCTGTCTGCCTGGACGATCGCCTTGCACGACTCGCCCCCCCCACTCACCGCCTCCATGACGATCCTCACTTCCACGCCCGGCAGCGGTGACCCCACCGTGCCTACGGCAACAACAACAACCACGGTGGCACCACAAAGACAAAGGTCCCTCCCCCGCCGTATAGCCTCGAACAGGCCGCAGGGGCAAGAGCTGTTGGCGAGTAGCACCGATGAAGGCCGGCACCACGCCCGACCCGCCCTTTGTCTCCCAACCGGCGACGTTTACACACCGCACCAGGTACTCATTTGAGGCCGAGTCGACCTAGGGGAGGCCCAGCTTCGGTTCGGGTAGCCGTCACAGGTGTCGGCCCATGAGCGGGGAATCGAACCCGGCTTGAGCAGTTTTCTTGTTTCGTTTAAACGACATCGCGGGGGTTATTTATTTATAACGCCTCCCTCGGCTAATATCATCGCCGCAGTACTAACCAGGGCGGCCGTGCGTTACTGGGGGTGGGGAGCGTTGTTCCGAATCGTGAATCTATTCTTGTTATTTTCTTATGACCAGGTCAGGCCCACCGTAGCTATGTAGCTCGCAAACGATGGCCCAAAAAAAGGGGGGGGGGGGGGGCTCTTCGCAATGTGCGAATTTATTCGCAGCACAAATCGCCGTTAAACGCGAGCCGTCGATTCTAAACGAGGAGGGCAAAAACCCGGAGGCCCCGGAGAAAATTCTACGCGACCACCACAGGAGAGAAAGGGAGACACCACAAGCTTCAAATACGCAGCAAAATACGTTAAATGCATGTTTTAGAGACTCATAGAGACTCATAGAGATCCACAGAGACCCATAGCAACCTATAGAGACCCATACGGAAACAAACATTTTTTTATTCTACCAGGTATCACTAAGCTATATAGCTCTATTTCAGAAGCATCCTGGCTGTCATAAATGATAGCTCAACAAATCGGCTTATCATCATGTGGACATCTTCTTGGTTCTTTCGGTAAAGTCACGTAGAAGGGAAGTAATAAAATAATAAAAATAAAACATAATAAAATATTGCTTTATTTTTATTCGTTTATTATTTCCCTTTTACGTGACTTTACGTAATAATAAAATAATAAAAATTAAACATAATATTTTATTATGTTTTATTTTTATTATTTTATCACGTAGAAGGGAAATAATAAAATAAAATAAATGTAACATAATATTTATTATGGCCCGTGATCTCCTTCCAGCGCTCCAAATAATAAAAATTATACATAGTATTTTATTATGCTTTATTTTCATTATTTTATTATTTCCCTTCTACGTGACTTTACCGAAAGAACCAAGAAGATGAATCCCTGCAGTCACGAAAGCTTTACATCGAAATCACGTGGACATTTATAACAGCCAGATGCTCCAAACGCGTGACGTCGGTCAGGGTCAGGGATCGAACCCACGACCTCCCGCGTACCCGGCGAGACAATTAACACCTCCCAGCGCCGCGGCTGGTACGCGCCGAATCCTCACCGGGAATCCTATCCCCGCGCAGTGGGTTTGAGAGCACCATGCCCAGCTCGGTCATGCCGTAGCGCTCCAGGAGGCGGTGGCCCGTGATCTCCTCCCAGCGTTCCAGCACCGGCGTTGGCAGCGCCGCAGAGCCCGACACCATGAGGCTGCCACGGCGCGAAAGGGGAGAGTGGCGTTCACTACCCGTACAAAGACAAAGATTCCCCCGTATGACCTGTAACAGGCCGTTGGGGCTGTTAGCGGGCATCTACGAAGGCCGGCGCGGCACACGAGGGGGTGGGTGGCCAACCACCACGCCCGGCCGCCTTTGTCTCCCCAGTGGCGATGATTTGCACACCGCACCAGGTACTCATTTAAGGCTGAGTCGACGGAGGAGCGGCCCAAAACCGGTTCAGGTCAAACTCAGATCGACGGGTTCATAGGGCAACATTCTCAACACTTCTCTCCACTTACACAATAGACAAAGATCCCCCCTATAGCCTGAACAAACTGTTGGGGCAAGTGCTGTTAGCGAGCGCCTGTGAAGGCCGGCACGGCGGCACACGAGGGGGTGGGTGGGCGGCACCACGCCCGGCCGGCTTTGTCTCTCGGGTGGCGAGGTTTTCACACCGCAACTGGTACTGATTTGAGGCTGAGTCGACCTAGGGGAGGCTCAGGGCCGGTTCAGATAATCGTCAATGTTGGCCGTGAGTGGGAATTGAACCCGGGTCGCCAGGTTCGGAGCGCAGCGCTAAACCGGTAAGCTACCACTCCCCGCGACACGCACGCACACACAAAGACAAAGATCCCCTGTATAGCCTTAACAGACTGTTGAGGCAAGTGCTGTTAGCGAGCACCAATGAAGGCTAGAATGGTGCACAAGGGGCGCGCGCACACACACGCATGCACACACGCACGCAAACACACACACACACACGTACACAGACACACACATGTACACACACACGCACACACACGCACGCACACGCACACACGCACACACACATTCACGTACACACACACACACACACGTACACACACACACACACACGTACACACACACACGCACCGGATGTGCTCCTTGCACATGCCGCGCACGAAGTCGCGGACGCGAGGCCGCGTGTAGTGCTCGTCGTAGTAGTCGATGAGCCGCGCGTACACCGTGGGCACCGCCATGAACACGTTCACCCGCGGCGACGCATCGCCGCTCAGCAGGTGCTCCCACACCTGGGGGGGGGGGGGGGGGGTGGGACAGCGACGGCGATGCGTTGGCAGTGGTGATGCACGAGCAGGGTCAACGGCGGCAGCAGCAGCAACTCGACACGTTTCGTGTCAGTAAAAATGCTCGCGGTCGTTACCCCTTTCCAGTTCTGATGACGTACGTGTAGACGGAACGGAACCGGTGAGTGAGTGAGTGGGTGAGTGGGTGGGTGGATGAGTGAGTGGGCGACTGGGTCAGTGAGTGAGTGGGTGGGTGGGTGAGTGAATGGGCTAGTGGGTAGGTTAGTGAGCAGGTGAGTGAATGGGCGAGTGGGTCAGTGAGTGAGTGGGTGGGTGAGTGGGTGATTGAGTGGGTGAGTGAATGAGTGAATTAGTGAGTCGGTGAGTGAGTGAGCAGGTGTGTGGGTGGGTGAGTGAGCGATTGAGTGGGTGAGTGAATGGGTGAGTGAATGAGTGATTGGGTGGGTGAGTGGGTGAGTGAAAGAGTGAATTAGTGAGTGGGTGAGTGAGTGGGTGAGTGAGCGTGTGCTTTTTTTTCCAGTGACCCTCCGTACGGTGGGTGAACACAGCGGCGAGCGAACGAGTCAGCGAGAATTAGCGATTGATCCCGTGAACGAGTGAGCGGGTGAGTCAGCGGGCGAATTAGCGAATGAGCAAACGAGTGGGTGAGTGAACGGGTGAGTGGGCGAGTGAGTGGGCGAGAGACTTAACGAATGAGTGGTTGAGCGAACGGGTGAGTGGGCGAGTGAACGAGCGGGTGGGCGAGTGAGCGGGCGAGAGACTTAATGAATGAGTGGGTGAGCGAACGGGTGAGTGGGCGAGTGAACGAGCGGGTGGACGAGTGAGTGGGCGAGAGACTTAATGAATGAATGGGCGAGTGAACGGGTGAGTGGGCGAGTGAATGAGCGAGTGGGCGAGTGAGCGGGCGAGAGACTTAATGAATGAGTGGGTGAGCGAACGGGTGAGTGAACAAACGGGTGGGTGAGTGAGTGGGCGAGAGACTTAATGAATGAGTGGGTGAGTGAACGGGTGAGTGGGCGAGTGAATGAGTGGGTGGGTGAGTGAGTGGGCGAGAGACTTAATGAATGAGTGGATGAGTGAGTGGGCGAGATACTTAATTAATGAGTGGGCGAGTGAATGAGCGAGTGGGTGAGTGAGTGGGCGAGAGACTTAATGAATGAGTGGGTGAGTGAACGGGTGAGTGGGTGAGTGAGTGGGCAAGAGACTTAACGAATGAGTGTGTGAGTGAACGGGTGAGTGGGCGAATGAACGAGCGGGTGGGCGAGTGAGCTGGCAAGAGAATTAACGAATGAGTGGGTGAGCGAACGGGTGAGTGGGCGAGTGAACGAGCGAGTGGACGAGTGAGCTGACAGGCGTGGCGACTCCTCATTCCCCGCCACCGCCAACCTGCCGGGCATCGAACTCGGGGAGCATGACACACGAGGCCCCCACGGCGAGCGGGCACAGAAGCTTGTTGATGATGCCGTGTGTGTGGTGCAGGGGCAGCGTGTGGAGGATGATGTCATCGCAGCTCCACTCCCAAGCCTCCAGCAGGCAGGAGACCTGTAGGCCGGGCACGGGAACGGGCGCGTGCCGGGCGTTTAAAAATGCAAATCAGAATCGGAAAGGGTTTTATTCGCCATGAAAGTTTGCACGGATAAGGCATTTACTATGGCAGGAAGGTGCGTGCATTCAACATGTAGGAATCTTAAAACTTAAATAAGTGGTATACATCTTCTTGGTTCTTTCGGTAAAGTCACGTAGAAGGGAAATAATAAAATAATAAAAATATACGCTCTAAGCGTGGTGCTGTTTCATTCAGACGCTGTCTCCCCGACAGACCTGGTCTTCACCTGACGACAGCTGCTTGCGTTGTGGCCGAACCGTCGTGAGAATTCTTTTATTATGTTTTTTATTATTTTTTTATGTTTTTAATTATTATTTTTTATAAAACGTAATAAAAAATGTATTTCCCTTCTACGTGACTTTACCGAAAGAACCAAGAAGATGAATCCCTGCAGTCACAAAAGCTTTAAATCGAAATTTTACAAATTAGTGTTTTAATATTTGCGTGTTTTTTTTTATTCCGGTTTCAGTGATTCTGCACTTGCTCTATTCTATAGTACTCTACCGCCTTCGACTTTTATGAACGACTGCGTGTTTAAGGTTATCGATTCGCCATATTATCTGGCTGTACAGCAAACGAAAAAATACAATTACTTCCTATGCAAGTTACAAATTTGCGTTTAAATATTTGCGTGTTTTTTTATTTTTTAGCACCCTTTCACAGCGTCATGCTACAGGCCCCGCACCCGCTTCATGTACCTGCGCGTGGAGATTGCCGTGCGTGCTCAGGACTCCCTTGGGCCTCCCGGTCGTGCCGCTGGTGTAGACGATCATCGCCGGGTGGTCTCGCCAGTCGCCGCCGGCGGCCGCCCCACCCCCCCCCCGCCCCGTCGTCGTCGTCGCCGCCACCCCCCCCCACCATACACGTCGCTGTGCATCACCGTGACGTGCGGCACGCCAATCTCGCGGGCGACACCCGCGGCCGCCTCGGCGAACTCCTCCGTCGAGAGGACGACGCGGGCGCCGCAGTCGCCCGCCACGTAGTGGAGCTCGCGCCGCGGGTGACGGTGGTAGAGCGGCACGGCCACCGAGCCGCGTAGCCACGTGGCCCACTGGGCCGCCACGTAGCGCGCGTCGTTGGGGCACAGGAACGCCACCGCCTGCGACGCCGGATTCCCTGGGAGGCGCACGGCAGAGGTCGCAAACGGGTTTTGATTCCGTACCGGTACCCGTACGCGGCCGCACCAGGGTCACAAATGGGTACCCGTACCCGTACCCTACCTGAAATGAGTGACAAACGGCTACTCACCAGTGACTCACGGCCTACCCGTACCCATACCCAGCCGCACCAGGGTCGCAAATGGGTACCCGTCAGAGGTGTGGACTCGAGTCATGTGACTTGGACTCGAGTCAGACTCGAGTCATGAATTTGATGACTTCAGACTCGACTTGGACTTGCATAACAATGACTTTGTCCCACCTCTGAGGTGTGGACTCGAGTCATGTGACTTGGACTCGAGTCAGACTCGAGTCATGAATTTGATGACTTCAGACTCGACTTGGACTTGCATAACAATGACTTTGTCCCACCTCTGGTACCCGTACCAGTACCTGGCCGGGTACGGGTAGCCGTTCCCTACCCGTACCCGTACCCTACCCGAAATGAGTGACAAACGGTTACTCACCAGTGACTCACGGCCTACCCGTACCCGGCCGCACCAGGGTCGCAAACGGCTACCCGTACCCAGCTGGGTACGGGTAGCTGGGTATCGGGTAGGGTACGGGTATCGGGTACCCGGTTGCGACCTCTGGCGGACGGGGAGGCGAGGTGGGGGGTGGGGGGGGGGTGAGGGAGGGGGCCAGCAGACAGAAAGTCTACCAGGGCGAGCGAATACACCGCTCGCTCGCCAGCGAAGAGACGGTGGTCGTCACCGCGTTGCGCGGCGCTTTCGGATGCGCTTCTGCGGCCGTCTGGAACGCTCTTCCTTCACGATGTTAGGAAGCCATCGGAGCGACGCACTTTTAAGTCTGGTGAGGTTGAGAACTGCTCGTTGTCGTGTTTAGACTGCTGGCCTTGCCACCGCACCTCCGATTAGCGCGGTTGGCGATGTATGGTGGCGCGAAAGAAGTCCGACACACAAACGTTGAGGAAAGGGAGCGAAGCGTGGAGCATGGGGGGTGTGGGGACCTGGCGCCTGCGATCTGTGAACAACGCGGACGGAAGACGCAGAGAGATGATGACTCACGACGACTACGACAACAACAACAAATCACAACAACGACTTACAACAACAACAACAACGACTCACAACAACTCACAACAACAATAACTCACAACAACGACTCACAACAACTCACAACAACAACTCACGACTCACAACAACAACTCACAACAACAACGACTCAAAACAACTCACAACAGCAACTCACAACAACGACTCACAACAACGACTCACAACAACTCACAACAACAACTAACAACAACTCACAACAACAACAACAACTCACAACAATGATTCACAACAACTCACAACAACAACTCACAACAACTCACAACAACGACTCACAACAACAACGACTCACAACAACAACGACTCACAACAACAACTCACAACAATAACAACTCACAACAACAACAACTCACAACAACAACTCACAACAACTCACAACAACTCACAACAATAACAACAACTCACAACAACAACTCACAACAACAAAACAACAACTCACAACAACAACGACTCACTTCGCCCCTCCACTTACCGCCGTCATCTCCCCCGAGTGCCCGCTGGATGCGCCGCGCGACGCGCCCCGCTGCCCGCAGCAGGGCCCCATACGTCGCCGTGCCGTGCCGGTCCGAGATGGCCAGGCGCTCTCCAAACGCGGCGGCGCGCGACGACACGGGGGACAGACACCCAGAGGCGGATGAGGTGGAGGAGCAGGTGGTGGCCGACGGACGGAAGGCCCGGCGGTGAACGAAGGCCCCGGCGCCGGCGGGAGAGGCGGCGACGGCGCCCGGCGGTAGCGCCCGGCTGGCGCGGGCGAGCGCCGATGTCAGCATGACGGCGTCGCGGCGCTGGTGAGACGGGGGGGGGAGGATCGGTGAGCGCAAACGGGTTTTGATTCCTTACCCGTACCCGGCGGCACCAGGGTCGCAAACGGGTACCCATACCCGTACCCGGCCGTACCCGTACCCTACCCGTACCCGGCCGGGTACGGGTAGGGTACGGGTATCGGGTACCCGATTGCGACCTCTGGCATGAAGCCATGTTGCAGGCGCGGGTGGGTTGATTCTAGGAACTTGAATTGTGAGAAGAGACAAGACGTTGGGAAATGAGTGACAAACGGTGACTCACCAGTGACTCACGGTCTACCCGTACCCGGCCGCACCAGGGTCACAACCGGCTACCCGGCTACCCGTACCCGGCCGGGTAGCCGGGTATCGGGTAGGGTACGGGTATCGGGTACCCGGTTGCGACCTCTGGGGAGGATCGGTGAGCGCTCCGGTACGGAACTCAGTTGGCCAGAGGCTCCCTCCCCCCATGTCTCGCTGACCGCGTTCTAACGGGGCATGTTCAGCGTTACACAAAACGCGTCTCCTGACGGAAACCGCGTAGTGTGAACGCCGCGCGTAAAGCGAGGGCCGTACAACAACACTGCAGTCGATCATCGATTATCCGGCACCGTGCGCGGTTATCCGGCTGCTTGCAGCATTACACGGCGTTCTCGGGCCGATCCGGCGAAACCGGCGAAACCACTCCAAAGGCGATCGGCACCGTGTGAGTGATCTCAGTGTCCAACATTGCATGCGGTACATTATACACTACGTACGCACAACGTAAACAATAGAAATACCGAGACGTATTATTGATTCTTCACGACTATTAACTACAGCAGGGGGTGGGGAATGTACTGCCCGCGGGCCGTATGAGGCCCACGAAATCATTTGGGTCTGGGGTATATAGTAGTGTAGTGTATAGTAGTGTATAGTGTAGTGTATAGTGTAGTGTATAGTAGTGTATAGTGTAGTGTATAGTGTAGTGTATAGTGTAGTGTATAGTAGTGTATAGTGTAGTGTATAGTAGTGTATAGTGTAGTGTATAGTGTAGTGTATAGTGTAGTGTATAGTAGTGTATAGTGTAGTGTATAGTAGTGTATAGTGTAGTGTATAGTGTAGTGTATAGTAGTGTATAGTGTAGTGTATAGTGTAGTGTATAGTGTAGTGTATAGTAGTGTATAGTGTAGTGTATAGTAGTGTATAGTAGTGTATAGTGTAGTGTAGTGTAGTGTATAGTGTAGTGTATAGTAGTGTATAGTGTAGTGTATAGTGTAGTGTATAGGTAGGTATAGTAGTGTATAGTGTAGTGTATAGTGTAGTGTATAGTAGTGTATAGTGTAGTGTATAGTGTAGTGTATAGTAGTGTATAGTGTAGTAGTATAGTGTAGTGTGTATAGTGTAGTGTATAGTGTAGTGTAGTAGTGTATAGTGTAGTGTATAGTGTAGTGTATAGTGTAGTGTATAGTAGTGTATAGTGTAGTGTATAGTGTAGTGTATAGTAGTGTATAGTGTAGTGTATAGTGTAGTGTATAGTAGTGTGGTATACAGTAGTGTATAGTAGTGTATAGTGTAGTGTATAGTAGTGTATAGTGTAGTGTATAGTGTAGTGTATAGTAGTGTATAGTGTAGTATATAGTAGTATAGTGTATAGTAGTGTAGTGTATAGTGTAATGTATAGCAATGTAGTGTATAGTGTAGTGTATAGTAGTGTATAGTGTAGTGTATAGTGTAGTGTATAGTAGTGTAGTGTATAGTAGTGTATAGTGTAGTGTATAGTGTTGAGTAGTGCCTCCATAGAGCCCAATGTGTTCGCTTAACAGACCATTCCCCTGTTCAAGTTCAAGTTCATTTATTAGGTATAGCCCTGTGAGCCATTCAGCTCTTGAATCGGGTGCAACCGCAACAAACAAAAAACAAAAACATGAACAAAAAAACATCTTAAAGTGAATATGTGACTAAGTGCAAACAGAAAATCCAAGAAAAGACAGCAAAAAATATTGCAGAAAAAACACCGTACACCAACGCTGTGTGCAAAAATCCCAGTGGGATGCAAGTCAAACAACAACAACAACCACAAGACAACTTAGATTAAGGCCATCAGTCTAACTCTGTACTACAACAACACAAACATGGCTAAACCAATACACTTTTCGAAATCACCAAAATAAAGCCTGTTGTAGGTGCAGTAAATATTAATTGGCGTAGTGGATAATCATCCACGTTTCTTTCATTATTATGTATTTACAATGTTGTTGGTCTCTTAATGTATTAATATTATGTTTTATTATTTTTATTATTGTATTATTTCCCTTCTACGTGACTTTACCGAAAGAGCCAAGAATATGAATCCCTGCAGTCACGAAAGCTTCAAATCGAAATTTAATATCAATTGTTTAAATATCACAATGTAGGATTTTGGGGTGAAAAAGGGGATGATTTTCTCACCCCCCCCCCCCCGACCTCATCACTCTCACGCAACCACTCATCCCACCACTCCTCCCACAAAGACACTCACCTCACTCTCACGCAACCACTCATCCCACCACTCCTCCTACAAAGACGCTCACTTCATCACTCTCACGCAACCACTCATCCCACCACTCCTCCCACAAAGACGCTCACCTCATCACTCTCACGCAACCACTCATCCCACCACTCCTCCCACAAAGACGCTCACATCATCACTCTCACGCAACTACTCATCCCACCACTCCTCCCACAAAGACGCTCACATCATCACTCTCACGCAACCACTCATCCCACCACTCCTCCCACAAAGACGCTCACCTCATCACTCTTACGCAACCACTCATCCCACCACTCCTCATTCCACAAAAACACTTTTTCATACCTGTCAACCCCTAACCAGTGCCCTGCATTATCACGGACCAACTCCAGACCGTATTGGTCACCCCGTGTCCCTTAGAAATCTCAACGTTCATCCTAAAAAAAGCCCCGTCACAGGGTAGAAACTCTAACAGACAAACATTTGTGTTGTTATTGAAACGTATTTTCGCCGTATGAAACCCGTAAAAGATCAATTATCCGGTTCAAGCAACATCACGTGCTAAACCACGTGGCTTTACCATCGTTCAGAGGGGGATTCCACTGTTGAAATCTACCCACGTGTTCACGACAAACGGGAACACGTGACTAGTCACCTTGGGGTGGCCTTTGTGGGGGGTGGGAGATCACGCAATCCACGATACAGGCAAAGATCCCCCGTGTAGCCTTCAACAGACCGCCGGGGCAAGTGCTGTTCATAGCGAGCAGCACCTACGAAGGCCGGCACGGGTTCAACAAACAAAGATCCCCCGTGTAGCCTGCAACAGACCGCCGGGGCAAGTGCTGTTAGTAGCGTGCAGCACCTACGAAGATACAGGCAAAGATCACCCGTGTAGCCTGCAACAGACTGCCGGGGCAAGTGCTGTTCGTAGCGAGCAGCACCAACGAATGCCGGCACGGGTTCAACAAACAAAGATCACCCGTGTAGCCTGCAAGACTGCCGGGGCAAGTGCTGTTAGTGAAGGCCGGCAACCCGTACCACCACGAAGATGTGTAGATGTGGGTGACCCAGCAGCACCACGCCCGACCGCCTTTGTCTCCCCGGCAGGTACTCGTGTCGAGGCTGAGTCGACCTAGGGGAGGCCCACCACACACGCGGGGAGGGCAAGGGCACGCCGGCGGCTTGAGCGACTGTTTCCGTGACGCTGAGTTGAAGCCCCTCCTTGACTCGGATGTAGTTGTCAGATTTTAGAGGGTTTACCTCCTCCACCCCCACCTCTCTCTCTCCCTTCGCCCCCATCTTTCTAAAACTAAACAAAACACCTACTCACTCACCTACTCACTCACATACTCACTCACTCACCTACTCACTCACCTACTCACTGACTCACATACTCACCTACTCACTCACCTACTCACTCACTCACATACTCACATACCTATTCACTCACATACCTACTCACTCACCTACTCACTCACCTACTCACTCACATACTCACTCACATACTTACTCACTCACCTACTCACTTACTCACATACTCACCTACTCACTCACCTACTCACTCACTCACATACTCACATACCTATTCACTCACATACCTACTCACTCACCTACTCACTCACCTACTCACTCACATACTCACTCACATACTCACTCACCTACTCACTCACCTACTCACTGACTCACATACTCACCTACTCACTCACCTACTCACTCACTCACATACTCACATACCTATTCACTCACATACCTACTCACTCACCTACTCACTCACCTACTCACTCACTCACCTACTCACTCACCTACTCACTTACCTACTCACTCACATACTCACTCACATACTCACCTACTCACTCACCCATTCACTCACTCACCTACTCACTCACATACTCACTCACTCACCTACTCACTCACCTACTCACTGACTCACATACTCACCTACTCACTCACCTATTCCCTCACATACTCACATACCTATTCACTCACATACCTACTCACTCACCTACTCACTCACCTACTCACTCACATACTCACTCACATACTCACCTACTCACTCACCTACTCACTCACATACTCACTCACTCACCTACTCACTCACCTACTCACTGACTCACATACTCACCTACTCACTCACCTACTCACTCACTCACATACTCACATACCTATTCACTCACATACCTACTCACTCACCTACTCACTCACCTACTCACTCACTCACCTACTCACTCACCTACTCACTTACCTACTCACTCACATACTCACTCACATACTCACCTACTCACTCACCTACTCACTCACCCATTCACTCACTCACCTACTCACTCACATACTCACTCACTCACCTACTCACTCACCTACTCACTGACTCACATACTCACCTACTCACTCACCTACTCAAACACTCACATACTCACACACCTATTCACTCACATACCTACTCACTCACCTACTCACTCACCTACTCACTCACTCACCTACTCACTCACTTACTCACTTACCTACTCACTCACATACTCACTCACATACTCACCTACTCACTCACCTACTCACTCACCCATTCACTCACTCACCTACTCACTCACATACCCACTCACCTACTCACTCACATACTCACTCACCTACTCACTCACATACTCACATACCTATTCACTCACATACCTACTCACTCACCTACTCACTCTCTCACCTACTCACTCACATACTCACTCACATACCCACCTACTCACCTACTCATTCACTCACCTACTCACTCACCTACTCATTCACCCACTCACATAATCACCTACTCACTCACCTACTCACTCACCTACTCACATACCTACTCACTCACCTACTCACTCACCCACTCACTCACATGGGGCTGGGTGGGGAGGGTGGGCCTGGGTGGGGTTGAGAGGGGTGGGGCTGGGTGGGGAGGGGCTGGTCACCCCGTGGTGCCCTTATAAAACTCAACGTTTAACCTACTCACGCCGGCTTGTGCCCGCCCTCACAGTCGGCCATATTTGCGGAATACACCACGCCGCTGTTGACCCTGCAGGCCATTGACCGAGCAACCCGACGTTCCTACCAGCTCCCTCCGCAGGACAATGTGTTCATCGTGTTCCAGTGTTATCACCCGTTCAATCTTGATTTGAAGCTTTCGTGACTGCATGCAGGAATCCATACTATTATCCGTTAATTTCCCATTCGAGAACGATAGTCCAATGTAAGTGTTCACATTTTTAGTTTTTAAGCACCCTGTACATATGTATTGCGAGCAAGGACAGAGTGGGCGCTGCACCACTCACGCGGGCCGGAGTATTAGGGGAGGTGGAGCCTGGTCGTCGGGGTGAGTGGGGGCGGAGTCAGGGTCACGTGAGGAGGAGGAGTCAGGGTCACGTGAGGAGGAGGATATAGGGTGAGAACCGGAAGGGGATCGGGAGTCGAGAGAGAGTTGATAAAGGAGTGGTCACGCGGGGTGCTGGCGGAGGAGTGGCACGAATTGCCACGTGGTCGGAGTCATGGCACCGTCGGCCAGCGGTGTACGTGGAGCAGCGGGGTGGCTGCAGAGTGTGCGGGGCACACGGCGCAGCGGGGTGGCTGCAGAGTGTGCGGGGCACACGGCGCAGCGGTGTGGCTGCAGAGTGTGCGGGGCACACGGAGCAGCGGGGTGGCTGCAGAGTGTGCGGGGCACACGGAGCAGCGGGGTGGCTGCAGAGTGTGCGGGGCACACGGAGCAGCGGGGTGGCTGCAGAGTGTGCGGGGCACACGGAGCAGCGGGGTGGCTGCAGAGTGTGCGGGGCACACGGGTAGTGGTGTGGCTGCAGAGTGTGCAGAGTCACACGGGCAGCGGGGTGGCTGCAGAGTGTGCGGGGCACACGGCGCAGCGGGGTGGCTGCAGAGTGTGCGGGGCACACGGAGCAGCAGGGTGGCTGCAGAGTGTGCGGGGCACACGGAGCAGCGGGGTGGCTGCAGAGTGTGCAGAGTCACACGGAGCAGCGGGGTGGCTGCAGAGTGTGCGGGGCACACGGCTAGTGGTGTGGCTGCAGAGTGTGCGGGGCACACGGCGCAGCGGGGTGGCTGCAGAGTGTGCGGGGCACACGGAGCAGCAGGGTGGCTGCAGAGTGTGCGGGGCACACGGAGCAGCGGGGTGGCTGCAGAGTGTGCAGAGTCACACGGAGCAGCGGGGTGGCTGCAGAGTGTGCGGGGCACACGGCTAGTGGTGTGGCTGCAGAGTGTGCGGGGCACACGGGCAGCGGAGTGGCTGCAGAGTGTGCGGGGCACACGGCGCAGCGGGGTGGCTGCAGAGTGTGCGGGGCACACGGGCAGCGGAGTGGCTGCAGAGTGTGCGGGGCACACGGAGCAGCGGGGTGGCTGCAGAGTGTGCGGGGCACACGGGTAGTGGTGTGGCTGCAGAGTGTGCGGGGCACACGGAGCAGAGGGGTGGCTGCAGAGTGTGCGGGGCACACGGGCAGCAGTGTGGCTGCAGAGTGTGCGGGGCACACGGGTAGTGGTGTGGCTGCAGAGTGTGCGGGGCACACGGGCAGCGGAGTGGCTGCAGAGTGTGCGGGGCACACGGTGCAGCGGGGTGGCTGCAGAGTGTGCGGGGCACACGGAGCAGCGGGGTGGCTGCAGAGTGTGCGGGGCACACGGGTAGTGGTGTGGCTGCAGAGTGTGCGGGGCACACGGAGCAGCGGGGTGGCTGCAGAGTGTGCGGGGCACACGGAGCAGTGGGGTGGCTGCAGAGAGAGCAGAGGACTCGAACGGCGTGCGGAGGGCACGCCACGGAAGAGGTGCGGGTCCGACCGGGGACATCGTGGGGTGCGAGACAAGAACCCAATAAACGACAGACGGAGACCAACATCGCCTAAGAGTCCTTTATTCCATATATATAGATAAAATCGCCACGTAGGTAATTCACAACGTGATGGCAATGAACTCCCACCACTCACCCACAACCCCCCCCCCCACCCCACGTAACTCACTCAGCCCACCTCACTGCCGTTGCAAAACCATCAAGCGCTGCCAGTCGCAATTATTTGACGTTTGTCCGCGGGCGAGACTTTTAAAAAACCCATTGCCTCCGCTGCCCACAAGCGACGGACACCACTGCATCATTAAGATCCGCCGCGCTCATTACGCAGAAATAAAAGACAAAGATCCCCCACGTAGCCTTAACAGACTGTAGGGGCAAGTGCTGTTAGCGAGCACCTATGAAGGCCGGAACGGTACACGAGGGGGTGGGTGGCCAGCAACCACGCCCGATTGTCTTTGTCTCCCCGGTGGCGATGTTTACACACCGCATCAGGTACTCATTTGAGGCCGAGTCGACCTAGGGGAGGCCCAGGACCGGTTCAGATAATCGTCACTGGTGTTGGCCGTGAGCGGGAATCGAACCCGTGTCGCCGGGTTCATAGCGCAGCACGCTAACCGCTACACAGCCATTCGCCACTAAGTGGCGGTGACGTCACCACGACGCTTGTGCCAGGCCACGTGCACCTTGAGGCCACGTGAAGTGTCGAACGCCCGCTGGCAGGAGGTCATAGGGCAGACCCAAGTGCCATGGGTCGACTGACTGAGATGACACACACACTAACACGTACACAACCGCAGTATTTACCAGGGCGACCGCCGCCGAGGTTTTAGAAACGCGGAACCTCTTGCGAAGGAGCGCCCGGCACGCCGATGAACAAGCACATGGCAAGGGGCAACCTCGCTATGGAGAATCCATGAAAGCTGCGCGGTGGTGGATGGTTCGTTAATTTGCATGCAGCCCGAACGCTTGATTAACTGCACAGATCAGATCATTTGTATTCCCAGACAATAGCAGCAGCGACGCTGCATCGGTAATTGACGTGAATTGTCCATTCTGAAAGACACTGTAATATATATAGCATATGCTTTAGAGGTGTGTGTGTGTATATATGTAATCTGATTGCCCTGAGCATGGGAAATTTGACGGCATATTTGCAGTGAGTCGTTGAGTGTATTGCTTGAAACTGTTATAAAAAAAAACGCAATTTGCGTTTATGCCAGAATCAAAAACGATGAAAAATAAGAATGGGCTTTTACCCTTTCTGGCAATAAAACAGGTGTTGAGATTTTGATTTAAAGCTTTCGTGACTGCAGGGGTTCATATTCTTGGTTCTTTTGGTAAAGTCACGTAGAAGGGAAACAATAAAATAATAAAAATACAACAATAAAATTCTCACGA